CTGACGTCACATCATGACGTCACATCATTATGTCACATAACCACGTGTTTACAGGGCCAGTGTTTCATAGCCATTGACCCGAATGTGTTCGCTCCTGGGTTCAGCGGTAGAATGAGCGATATTATGAGCATCTGTCGGCAGTTGCAGCCAGTAAGTAAATCTGCCACAGCACCAATCAAGCAATTCACGTACGTCACATTTACACTTTACACAAGTAGAAAAAATCGCAATGTATGCTTATTTTCCAATACATTATCATGTGAATTGGTTGTACAAGAATTAAAGCAATTTTGTACAGTTTCGTTTTGTCCTGGATTTTTTTTTTTTTTTTTTTTTTTTGTGTTGTTATAATATCAGGCCCGATACAGTCTAAAAATCCTCGACGTTGCGTCACAATAACCACATTGCGTTACAATACTTTATGTGAATTTTATGCTTTTACTGCACACCAGGCAACAGAAGATAAACCGGTTCTGGTAGCTGGAGATCCTGAGAGGCTACACATGGAGAAATGTGATGCTCAGGGCGGTATTGAGTATCATCCTAATCAAATAGAATTCCTGGTAATTTTTGCTCTCTCTCTTTCTCTCTCTCTCTGTCCACCTTAGGAAGAAAAAATGAAATAGAAAAATAAACACTTGATAAATAAAAGTTGTTGGAAAGAAATCGATATTTAACGTTTATATTTTTGATGACGTATTTTCAGAATACTGTGGCTGACAAAGTGAAGGTTGCTCATATAAAGCCTCTTCGTTAGGAAAGTGTGCCCACAGATGATGTAATGTATGAAAACATGACCACGCCCATAATTGACTTCAATATTCAGAGACCACGCCTTAGCTCTTGTATGTGTATCGAACCGGTATGTGGGCAACTTGCACCTACGGATGATGTAATGTATGAAAACATGATCACGCCCATAATTGACTTCAATATTCAGAGACCACGCCTTAGCTCTTATAGAACCGGTATGTGAGCAGCTTGCACCCACGGATGATGTAATGTATGATATGACCACTCCCATAACAGACTTCAATACTCAGAGACAGGGCTTAGCTCATACAAAACTGGTATACCAGGAACGTCTTCCCACGGATGATTAAGCTACAAATGAAAAAAGGACACGCCCATGACAGACGTCAATATTCAGAAACCACGCCCTATGGCACTCAAAAACCTTCATTTTTTGCTTATCTGGAACAGTTTTAGTAATACATGTTAAAATAAGAAGAAATGTGATACAATACTTTTGTTAGTGAGGGGTAAAATGATTTTGTTGGGGTCACATGTCTGAGAAAGCTACTTATGTGTTCATCAAAGGATCAATATTATATACCAACTGATGAAATTGTTATAAATAAAAATATTACAAATAATAACAGAAATTAAAACGATGTATAATTTAGACCATGCTTTATTGAATAACGTAGCAGTTCTGCGCGATTGAGAATTTCTCATCGAAAGCCCAGAAACATCTCTCACCTACCGCATTTGCGATGTTCAAGGCGCTGCTAGAAATTGTTCATTGGTTAATATTTTATTTTAACAACCAGATTTGGTGACATTATGGCTTCCAGTAGAACTTATGTCCATTTGCGCTGTGAATGACTTAACAACTCTTGTAAAAAGAAGGATCGGCATTCCAGATAAGGGGGAGAGTAAATAAGGAAGGGTCTGCATATTTGACGAATAGCTCTTTCACTCACTGACACACAAGAACATACACACACAAACACACACACTAAATGATAATTAGAGCCCGTCGGCAAACTACACCTTACATTTGAATATCAAAATGTTTCTCTTCATTTTGGTTATAATGGTTTATAATTGGTTTAAAATAATTGCAGTGGAATAAATTTCTAGTTCGTCGTCGTTCCCAAACCTAAAGGTAGCTAAATATGTATTATTGCTAAAATAATCAATAATAACGTACAGCAGAATGGGTTCGTTCTCACACAACCAAGTCTTTAATTCTGTTACACGTTTCACAGTCAATTAACATTAAGTGGTAAGCCCTAGATGAACTATTTACTAAATAATATAGATCAATCACGTTCACGTTCACTGCTGTCTATTTACAAACAATTTACTGATGAGCCCACAGAATTCAAAATAATTATTTTCTTGTGGATTAATCTGGACCTAAACCGGTTTGGGTTTAATGCATTGGCTGAACGGGGTACTTACTGTGTAGCTCGGGCTGATGTGTTGAAATGTCAAGGCCACTTTCCGGGCCATCCATACGCAATCACTTTCCCTCGGTTCCTATTATTCCTGACGAAAAGTTAGTTTGCGACGCTTCGGTGATCAATAGAAAAATAAAACAGGGAAAGCGAGTGTTGTTATGCCACCTTTCTAACTCTGGGTCTTCAATTTCTTATTACGTTGACCCCACACGTTGGCAATAAGACAAGAAACGAAAATATAAAGTAGAGAATTAACTCAGAGTGATAAAGCTGAAGTAAAATTCAACGAAAAAATCTAAATAAAAAGGCACTATTCCACAGCAAGCTGAACATCAGCTGAAATGACCATTGAGAGTCAACGAGATTTTCATCGGATGTGTATTCAGAGATCGTCTTTGTTGCATATACTAACCTGGTCGACCTCTTTTACCCAAGAAAAACTGTATAGAAATAAAGAAACAAAACAGAAAGCTCAGTCTTTCCTAGCCCTGTAATTCTCCTGGCCGAAAAAGAAAAAAGCTGATTTTTGTAATGTTTTTTTATGTTGGATGGCAAAAGATTTAGAGGTTACAACTTTTTTTATTGTAGTTGGACCCTTCTTCAGTTGTGTAATGATGGTAAAACATACAACGCCCTACTACTGAGTTTTACATCACAGTTATAATATCAAGTGGTTACTATTCATATTGAATTAAAGCTAGAACGCTGCTAGCATTGGAAGAAACACAGCTAGAATTCCACGAACGATATGACAAACAAACTTAATATATAGTTTACATATATTACCGACGCCTATTTTATATACTTCAAGAAACTTGGTTCTGTGTCTTCTATTTTCCTCATCTCCGCTCACGTTTGAATTATCGCACAATTGAATTGATGTGACATATCCTCTATTGACTCCCCTTCAACACATGGAGGTAATTTTCACACCTTTCTGTTCCGCTCGACTGCGCATGCTCCCAAGAGGGTTCACATGTTCGTGTACAGCTGGCCCGCAGGTCACGGATCAACAGACTCAGATGCGAATCACTGGAAAACTCATTAGCGTTCAGAGAGCCAAAAAAAGCAACACGATCACTTTTTGAACACCCTGGGTGTCAATATACAGGCGTTTCTTTGCACCGCTTTAAGCCCCTTGCACTTCTCTTTAGAAAGTTGACCACATGTTTTTTTTTTCTGCTTTTGTACAAGAACTACCAACATTTTCTTGACACGAAATCTTAAACTTGTCCCCATCTTTAAGATACAGTGGATGACATTTTGGGTGTAGATGTTTCTGGACCCTATTGATTGTAAAGGTAAATACAAGTAGTGCGTGTTAGACCTTTATATTATAAAATACTGTTTTTTTCCGAAAAATTCGCACATCATTCATTTATTGCCAAGGTAAAGGCATATCTTGCTCATCGTAATTGTCGAAAAAATCAAAGTATATAAACGCTTTTTGAGTTTACTTTTCTTATTTTTGTCTCGAGTAATGATGATAAAAAGGATGCTCTTTTAATAAAATAACCTGTTTGTTTTTATTTCTGATTTAACCACATTATCTTTTGAATGCACTTGATTTTAAATTGATATTAATACTCTAAATAAATGTATCGGACTTCCTTTGATACTTAGTTTATGCCGTTATGAATGACGTAGAGTTAGACGCTGCTATCACCCGTCAGCTCTGAAAGTTTACAACCAAATTCAAGTACTGTCGTCATATGAAAGTGGGCCGAATCGCGCCATGGACAATTGAGCGTTTAAACGATTATTCTTATTATTGTCACTTTTTGTGCCTCTTTAAGAAATTGCTTTTTAACCATTGTGAGAATTTAAATATTTTGTTTTTGTTTATAAAATTAATAGGAGTTGCATTTTAAGCTTGAAGCAATCGTGTTCCAAATAAAATTAACGGCTTTTATTGAATCCATGTCGCCAAACAGAAGAGGAAAACAATTAATTAAAAATTCGTCAAAACGTTTTATTCTACGTACTAATTGACACTTTTTCTTTGTGTGTTGTCAAACTCGTCCTTCGAACCGTCACATACACAACAAGTGTTCTCCCCCTCCCGGAATAATTAGCATTCTTTCCTTGATGTGCTTTGCACCGAAAACACAGTGTCGATTTCACACATCGTCTAAAATTTACACGTAATATGGAGGTCGTTCACACGCGACCTCATGGAAAACGCGTCTGTTTCGCTCTACCGCCGATTTTTCGCCCGTCCTAATTTATGAACACACAGCGGTCCAAAGGAACAACCTCAAGTTCTTTAATTTGTCCACTACTCTAAACAGATGTCTTACACCAAAAGACAGTTGCTGCTGTAGTATGCATGTCCCTGTTTTCGAAAACAGCATTTGCTTACTGGACACAATACAAATACCACCGCTTAGTTGGAGGCATTTCAACAGTGAGCAGTGAACTGGGGTTCAAAGATTGACGGACTGTCCCATGGGAGTGAAGCCTCAATGAAAACCACATGTATCCCGAAGTATCCATCCCATAAGTACCCCGCCCGCCCACCTGTTCAGGTGACGTAATAGACCTCACACAACGTATGACGTAACGATGGCGGGGGATATAGCCGTCAACGTTACTCGAGATACTACAGAACCTAAATTTTCACGGTGTTGCTAAATGAGCCGACTCGATGGTAACGATCCTTGCAGTGATAAAATCTAGGCTTTGGTTCCATGCGGTCAGCAAGAGCATCAATTTCCGTGAATGATGAGTGATTCACCTTGAAGGTGGGACTTTACTATCATTGTTTCTACATGTGCCACAGATTGAGAAGAATTGCTTTGAGTTTCTTATATATTTTTTCCTTTCGAGAGATGAAAGATAGCAAATAAATGAAGAGGCAACCGCATTTTTGGAGCGAGTCTTGAACAGCAAACAATTTAATAAAGCTTGCACCATCAAAAGGTGGTCTAATTATCGCTCTGTAAAACACCTGTTGGAAATTAACAATGTGTATGATAAAGTAATGCTTTAACAGATTGAACACTATAAGATGTGTAGTAAAAAAATCATTTTAGTCATTCCAGGAACGCCGAATTCGGCCATCAGATTCTTTTAGGCAATGGCAATATGTTAATTCTAAATAATTTACGTAATATCTTTCTAAAAACCATGTTATTACTTTCCCTTTTAAAAAGTGTTCAGTTAAAATAGAAACCTGATAGAAACCTGACAATTTTTCCAGTATATTTACATGTCGTACCACGTGGAATCTGTGAAGTTGTCAGGGCGGTTCTCATTTTCATTTCAACAGATTATCAACTTGCGATGTTTAAAATAAAAGTTGTAATACCGTATATTCTGGAGAGTCAGGAAACAACGCTTGATTGTTTCAATGCTTATTGGTGGGGATACCTGAAGTCCCCTTTTATGAATTTACAATTATATTTATATAATGAGCATAGAATTATCGTGTTTTTTTATTATTTAAATGCTGTGATTTTGTGAGATCTATTTCTCCTTTTCTTCCTCTTCTTTTTTTCCCTCTAAAATGACGTTAAATATACATTATCTGTCCTTCAGTATACAGAGCCCAGTAACAAAAAATTTTGTGCAAAGAGCTGATCTTAAAGAAATAAAATGTGTAGCCTTTTGTTTTTCTTTCATAGGCCTGTCCATTATTATGGGCACGTCAGATATGTACATTTCGTTTAAAATGGATTGTTAAATATTTTATAGAATTAAGGTAATATTATGAAAAATGTATTTTCTATGCTATTTATGATTAATTGTTGACTGTTAAACCCGAGAATACACATCTGCTGTATGGGCCAAAGTTCAGCTCTTTTAATGGTTTAGTTAATTCAATGAATATTGAAGCTAATTTATAATGATGAACGGCCCTTTTTTGCTAACAGACAAGGGAACCTTTTGAAACGGAGACAACATTTTAAAAAAATCGAGTCTCTTAAAGAAAAGTGGTGCTAGATAATGTTATAAACAACGGCACTTAAAAGCGCCTGTTGAGACAGCTTCACGCAAGAGTACATACTCTCCTGTCCAATTGGACGCGCGTGTAGGAGTAAGTGCTGACCCCTCACCCCTGCGAGCAAAATGGAACCTTCCAAGTCATTTTGGAAAGCGCAGTAAATCCTCGAAAGGCAGCTGCCGCTGTCTGTGCGCGAGTGTGAGAACGCTGGTTCAATTTAAGAACTGAGCTTGACAGTAGCCGACCCAAAACGACACCGAGCACCGCGGTATAGTCAAGAAACCATCTGGTAGTTTCAGATAAGGTTACTATTTCAAAAGGTTTCGCCAGAAAGCCGGAGGAGCGATAGGCTTAAGGTAAATTCCGGCCTGACAACCGAGTCCCTTATTATCCCGGCGATTCTTTCAGCAGAACCGATTACTGTTTAAGTTAAATACCGCTTTGACAGCTGAACTTACTGAGAAAAGCGTTCGAAACCGCTGGGGGAAGTCGAGTGGTCTTGCAATTAAGCCCCATCAGAGGCCCGAGGAAAGCTGGAACTGCAATTATAGATTACAGTAAGTACGCCGTAGTTTTTCCAAGTGTGATTTGTGGCACTGGCGCCAAGCAGTCTGGACTAGCGAGTAAGAGGGGGGATTCCCGATACCTGCCCCTTATTTTCGGCTCGTAACGTTGTAGCCATGTTCGGTTCATAGTGGTTGGAAAACTCCTTTGATTTGAGATATACGGCGGCTGAGACAACCACAACACTGGCTAATTAGCTCCAGGATTTTCTTTGGGATATAAGGTTGTTTAATGTCTGAAAAACGCCGCTTTTAATGATGTGGTTGATTAGGTTGCCTTGCTTGCCCAAGATTTCCTTGTTGCTGGGGGGAATATCACATGTATACATGTAGTAATTACTTCATATTGTAAGGTAAGTAAACGAGTTGATGGGTTCTGTGATAGTATCCCTGTGTTAGAAAACATCACCCTTATCACAATGGTGCTCCACAGCCAAACGGGGTTGTTTGTAAACATGAAGTTTGAATAAGAGTGATGTAAATATAATTAGCCCAGATTGGTCAGACGAAAATGACTTCGGTGGTGCACCTGTATTGTCGACTTCTTTCAGAAGAGAGAACGTTCTCTGGTTAGTTTCCTCTTTCCATAATCGTTGTTTTGCAGTCAGCCACGGACTCTAAATTACAGTGGGTTCATTACGTTGCCATCACAGTTGTACATAGCAAGAATAACTTCTGGAATTGGGCTGAATTTTTTAACCCAACTTTAAAGAAACGTCTCTCTCTCACTTTACGTTGTTGCAGCAATTTAAAGATCATTCAAAGATGCTCTTCGAAACAGAGTTTGGGGTACAAAAGTCTGGGGTTAAATAGAGTTTTCCGTCTGTTACTGAAACTAAACAATTCCTTAAACAGTCACGTAATTTCAAAACGTTACAATAAAGCCACAAACGGTCCAGATCTCTTTAAGCGCAGTACAAAGTATGAACCCCATTAAAACGTAATGTTTAAAATGTTGTATCAAAGTCTGTTGATATTGCAGTCTTATGAGATTTGTTGAATAAATATTGGGTGTCGCCTCAGAAATCATTCATGATTTACACGTTTATCACAATGTTGTAGTAAAATTTTTATTTAAAGTCCGGAATAAGAGCACATATGTATAGTTACATATACTATCAGTTATTCGAAATAATATTAATTTTCCTAAGATCGTTTATCATACAATTGATTCTGATAAGATTCTAAATCTTGTTTCAGTTTCAGAGCACACAACCGAAAGATAATAACTTTATATGAAAGCCGCCGCCGTCGTCGAGAAGCGCAGGATTTTTTACCACCCTCCAGACTTTTTCCAGGCAGTCCATAAGCCATTTGAGCCATGGACCAAAGAATGTACATGAACACAGCGCCCGCCCTCCATCACTACCCGCATAGTCTAGCCAGCACATACAGCCTTCATCAGACTCTACAGAGACCCTCTGCTTTGCCCACCCTGTACAGTGGGGGCAGTTTTGCTTATGCCGGGACAGAACCATGGGGTCTACCGCACCCCTCGGGCATGACAAACGGATTAAGCCCGCAGTTAACGCGGGAACACCAGGAATATTTACAGAGTAGTCATGGCAGTGGGGGAGGAGGAGGGGGACACGTTGGACTTAGTTCTTCGCAGACGCGTGCGGACTCTGGTTCACTGGGACCGTATCACGTCCCCCCTGGGCACGCGCATAGCGGAGGGCTGGGGAGTTACTCGTCGCCGTATGACAGTATTACGGGTTCCCCGCCCATTCGCTCTGCAGGCTCGCCGAAGGACGTGAATGGGAATTCCACCTCAAAATCCCCGAGTGAGTATTGATGCCAGTATCCTAGTATTATAAAGAATAAACAGTTGCTGTTATTTTTCATAACGAGAGAGAGAGAGAGTGAGAGAGAGAGATTGTCTCTCGTGTCTGTCATCGGTGTCTTAATTTCGATTTTTTTTTCGTTGTTTTCTTTTCTCACTAACACGTGAAATGCTCTAGGTAATGTATAAGGCTAGATTATCTCTCAAAACAGTCCTTATACAGACTAGCCATTTTCTTCAATAATTTAATCAAAATCTGTCCTCTTCAAAGCGATACGTTAGATTGCGTGTGCGTAAATATTTATCCCAGAGAAACTTTACCCACATAATGACTCTATTCAGAGCAATGAGGAAAATGCTCCCAAAACTGACGCCATTCTCATAGACGGTCTTTTCCTCTTTACTGCTGACTCAAGGCCCAAAACAGTGCTATACGGTTGTTGTAAGTATTTTTTTTTATGGTATTACTTTACTCCCGTAATTAAACTGGGCATAGCAGCGGTTGACATTAGCTGCCGTTTTTTTCTCCGAAAAATTCAGATCAGGCACGTTTGCCGAGCTGTGGCCCTATCCCGCCCCCGTCAAGTTACGACTTCTCCCGAATATTTCTTTTTTCTGTTAATTAGAAGTGATTAGAGCCGGGCTGTGCGTGGACGCTTTGCAAAGCAGTTATAACTTAGCGTAAAACGAGGTACAGTTTCTTGTTTTGGGAGCTATTCTGAGCTTTTGAAGGAGAATTATTTTAGAGAGAGAAGAGAACTCCTTTTCGTTACTGTTACTCTTTCTATTCAAAGTGCGAGGTTTGGAGCATTGTTTCAAACAGCCTTCAAATAGTATTTAGAGATGGATGTCCGCTTGTAATAAAATTCTACGAATTAAAAAGAGCGCGTAATATATATATATATGTATACGGGACGAACTGACTTACTTTTAAACACTAACACTGAGTCACGTATAGGCCTACATTTCCGTTCAAAATTGGTGTCACACCAAATGTCTAGCTTGGGTGGATAAAACATTATTCGTGTAAGTGTCCAGTAAGTCCCCTGACCACTCGGGCCCGACCACACATGGCACAAATACTCGTGTTGGTGCCACACTCTTCACTAGAGTGTTATGTATGATTTGTGCACTGGCAGATGTAATTTTACAAAACCGACTTGTGGACGACAAATTGCCCGTGCATATTTTCCCAGTTTCTCATTTGCAAATACATGAATCTATTCATTTGTTGTTGTTTTTTATTTACTTTTTACTTCTTGGTTTATATATATGATGTCGTTATTTTTTTATTTATTTATAAACTTAAATTTCATTTGAAAGGGTAGATTCATTTTTATAATAGAGAGGTGTAGTTTGATTCAGAAAAACACATAAGTCAGTGCACGTTGCATTGTGATTTGGGCTACAGTTACGTGAACAGTAAGGTAAAGACCGTCTCCTAAGAACCAAGTTCATTGACACAGTCTAAGTCCAACTATATTAAGTGGTATCCCTTGCACCCCCACCCCCCCTCACCGCTCCACTTTTCTAGTATCATAAAAAAAGTGCAAGAATATGGAGTAGGTTACAGTTAAGTAGAGTAAAATATCACAAAGAATTGAAAAATATTGCAACGTTGAAGGCGTATTACAGTAGCTGAGTGTTCTAACCTAGATGCGTGACACCCATCTTTTTCAAGGGTTTATCGTGATGTATGGGTTATACCGAGGAGCCGGTGTGAGTCTGGGCGTATAGAATTACACCGACACTCGTGTAGGCTTTCCTTTAATGACTTTTAAATTGCCTTCAACAATCTAATTTCACGACGATAATTAATATTGCTATTTGCACGGTGTATGTTGGGGAATGGTAACAAAGACTTGAAGAATCGCAAGGTCCGTGGTCACGCCAGAGAAAAGTTCAATTTGAGGGAAATAAGGCAGGGGAACGCGCTCTTCATGGTTGTAAAATGACTTACAAAGCATTGTCCTAGAATCAACGTGCGGTCACGAATTTCCCGTTTTGTTATACTGGCACGCGTTTTTTAATTCATGGTAGACTCGCAGTATTTGATTTTTGTGTTAGGTCAGAAAATATGAAACTAAAAAACATAATTTCATGTTAAGGAACACGATCCTCGCCGTAAAATTCAGAGATTACTGAAAACTCTTCCCAGCATCATCATATCTCTGAAACCCAAATATTAGCTAGTTGGAGTACCTGAATTATCACAATTTTCTTGCAAAAATTATTCTCTCCTTATGAACATTAGGAACTGTTAATGTGTTTTTTCGGTGCGTGAAACACGAAGTAATGTACATATTGGTATGCGTAGTATGCGAAGAAGCCGAAAAGATGAGTCGGTTGGTCAAGGGAAATGGTCAGTTATGTCCGACGCTCTTATTGAAATCTTAAAGGGATAGCACCTCTTCATTTGAGATTCAAGTTCCACAATAAACACACTCAAAACAAAATATATTCTGAAATCTGTGCTTCCTTTACGAGGACCTGATTAAATACACGTAGCTACACTCCAAAATAATCTCTTATGTGATTATTACAAAAACCACAAAAAAAAAAAAACAAAACAAAACAAAACAAAACAAATAAACAAACAAACAAACAAATTCGACCGGCTCTGAATTTCGGGACGGATTCATTAACCATTGGAAAGTACTGGGAAAATTGTCGTTTACCCCAGGACAATCCGTTTTATGGCACTTTTTCCGCCAAAATGAAGAGTTATCCCTTTAATCGATCGTGTTTTAAAAGAAGGTGGACGTTTATTTCTTTATTCTTGCGCTCTGTTGTTCTATTAAATTGGGGAAAATATGCAAATAATAATAATGATAATAATGGCTACTACATAAAATAAATTTTAACACGAGGAATAACAGTAACCGCAGTGTAGCGATAAATAATTTAAAATGTTCAAACTGTAGTTTTTTCAAACGGTACTACCTGCCATTGATTCTTGAAATAATGCAGTTACTCATATTATTTTTGTGTTCGTAAATTAATGCGTCGTATTTTACCATCTGAAGGCAAAAGCCATTGGAATAAATTACTCGTAGTTTAATTGAACTGCGTCTGCATGTTTATTATTTTGGCATAGTCTTCTGAAAAAATATAACAACATATATTGCACAACTTAAATTTTACGTAAACAATTTGATTATCAGAAGTTGGTAAATATATCCAAGTTGCAGTGCCCTGGGCGTCTTGGTTGCGGGACACGACTTCGGATTTTCTTTTCACTGAACGTGGTACTGTTCAAAGTGTTAACATTTTCGGTCAAGGGTTTTATTTGCAGTGTAAACTACTGAGACCTAACTTTGTAATGCACGGCGTTTTTCTTTGCATTGTAGCTCATTTCAAATATTTTGTCTTAAGTGTAATGTGCGCAGAAACATCCAATAATGATAAAATACATTGTAAACTAGGTAGATTCTCTACTTTTTCAAATCTTTTTCAGATCTATACCTATTAATCGTGTTACTAATTTCACCAAACCATTCTAAACGAAGATCACTGTGTGAACGGGCCTCCATTCCGTGCTTCTCATCCCGAGAAGAGAACGTGCTTTGTCCACAAATTCCTCTTAGCGGTTTAATGCCTTTGGCCGGTCAGTTCACGCACGCATTAATCACGTTAATTTCCCCTGCCCGCACCCGTCGACCTCACCGCGCGAGAAATAAAACGTCGTTCGAGGCCCATTACATCTCTCGAACCAAGCACTCTACACTGAGAAGGTCGCCTATCGCGGTTCAATTTTGCCACACAGCGACTTTCGTTATCCATTTACGGGCGGTGCGTGATATCTTGGGGTCCCGTACTAAGGATAAATGATACGCACAGAGTAAGAGACACTCGGGCACGTTAAAATCCACAGCTGAACAAAGTTGCACTTCGTCAGAGGCCCATGTTATGGATAGACGATGATATTGATATAATTCCAAGGAGAGGGAATGAAATATCGTCTGATTTGTGTGAAGTGTAGGATAATGGGTGATTTTTACCCTAACGATGTTATGCCGTGTTGGAGGCCATTTAATTTGACAAATTTGAATGAAGAATTTGATTCGCATCGAAGAAAGTCTTTACTACTATACGACAAAAAAAAAGAAAAAAAAATACACCCACATATGTGATCATCTGAAAAACTAAGTAATTTTGTTTAAAAAATGGGTGTTTTTGATTCAGCGTATTTTTATTCGGCGTCCCCGTAAACGTCAGCGTAGGTCGCTGTTTGAAACCAACTGTTATTTAATCACGCGACGTATCTAGAGATTTTACTATTATCAATACTTGAATTAAATTACCGTTGAACAATTAAAGGTCGAGCGAGCAAACATTACTTTTAATTTTTACATACAAATATGAATTTCAAAAGCGGTTGACGAAGGTGAAAGAAAAATGTTTAATATGTTCATCATCATCATCATAATAATAATAATAAATTATTTTATGCCGCATTCTATAATAATTTCAGTGTACCCTACGAAATACCGAAAGTTATGCACGTTATGAAGAACACTGACAATTTAACAAAGAAATCACACCGAAAATGAGAATAACAAAAATAATGTTAATGTGATTCCATATCTATGTACTGTAAAAGGAGAGAAAGCAAACGGTCATTAATTTTACAGATTACAAGATCGGAGAAGACATAAAATACTCTGTTATAGTAATTCGTATTTAAATATTGATTTCATATTAACGATAAAGAATGCACAAATACAAATGACTGTAAGCAGCTAAGAATTGAACGAATCAATTATCCTCAAGTATTGGAATATCGTAGGAAAATCATTCAACAGGAAACTGTCGACAATTTAAAAATGTATTTGAAAATGACAGGCTGTTTGCCGTCAGATATCAGTTGTGTTGAGTGACAAGACAGTCTCATTAGAAAATGCGTTACGCAAAAATATTGTCAAAATTTTCTAATGTCAAGTTAGTTGGTTCCGGAATTTTTTAAATCTTAGTAATATCCTAATGAAACAATGTCCCCTTCAAACAAAAATGTTGATATAACTTTAGGTACATAGGGGCGGATTTAGGCCGTCTTCAGGGTCTTCCGGAAGACGGTCAGATTTTCAAGTTTACATTGACGGGTATTAATTTTTTCTGTCGGAAGACGGTCAAAAATGGAGGATGGATCAACAAAGATAATTTGGAAGACTGTCAGAAAATATCTCTGGATCCGCCCCTGCTACATAACATTCTTTTGTTGAGACAAGCACTATAGATGTCGTTGTCAGCTTCAGCCATTTTGATAATTTTAACTTTGTCTTATCTAAAACGTGTAAAACATATTCCAGTCAGTATAATGTTAAATCATAATGGTAGAAAGTATTGTATGTGAACTGAATTGTTTATGCGAAGCTTCTTCCATTTAAAAAATAGAATCTCTCTGTCTTTCTCCCTTTGTCCTTAGTATTTATTTTCATTCCTCCGATTGTTTACGTGTGTTGAAAAATGTTTCTTGTTTATAAGTGATGAGAGAAGAGATTTCCCAAGAAAGATTTTACTTGTGTTTGTCATGATTCAGTTTGTTCTCAAACCATCACGTCAAATGTGTAAAACATTATGGACGACACAAGACGTCTCCATCACGTCGCACTGGCAGACTTCAAGTCGGACGCTCTCTGTCATTTTATTCCAAGTATGGAGAGAGCTCGCGCTATGACACACGAGTATCGACGGGGAAAAGCTCGAGCGGCATAGCCTTGTTTAGTACAAAAATCCCGATATCAGCCGGTCCCATTTATCACGTTGGCGATCATCCGGTATCGTTTGTTTTTATCAGAGTCCAAGCGCAATCAAAACGTCTTTTGGGGAGATCTTCAAAGGCAGGGGATGGAATTAAAACAAATGATGACACGCAAAGAAGGGCGGGGGGTCGACATGGGAAACCGAACCAACGAACTCTTGAGAATCGACGCTGCAGAAATGCACTTTGGTTTCCGCCGGGTTTGTCTATTTGCGACCTTACATGTTAGATGAAAAAACTGAGATATTTACTCGTTTATATGCCAAATTTAGGGTGTTTAATCTTTGTTGAAAGTAAATAAAAACATGTTTTTATTTAAATTATTTGACCGTCACCTCGAGCTTGAAGCAACAAGAATCGTACCATTCTCATCCAAGGCAGTTTCTGTTTTTTATCGTTTCTTTTTCTACTTTTGATTATGTGGAGTAATATAAACGATAGATTCGTAACTCAGATAAAAAGTAAATCGAGCAGGTGACATTTTCGGGGCCATGTCGCTTAAGAAATCCCGCCAATAAGTTTTTTTCCTACAATAAAGACCTAAGCTTAACAAAGCAGTGCAGAAACTTTCTAGATATGTTTACAGCCAGGAGATGTATAGAGTTTTGCTTTTTTAAGTGATATTGACACATTGGTAGATATTCAGATAAACAAAATGATGTTACTTACATGAATAAAAACTAATATGACATTAATAACGACACGTGTTTAATAATTTCTATGTCAGCGAAAATGCATCAACTGTAATGACGAAATAGCATGGTATGTGGTAACTTTTTTGAAAATAATTTTTGCCGGCGCCATAATAAATATCGTGCATAGTAATATCTTTTTGAAAACGAGATTTTCAACGACCACAATGATGAAATCTACATTATAATTATCCCGTCCCATGGAGGCTGTGGAATAATCTAGTTCCCACAAGATGCCGATTATTTAAGCCGGAAAAGAGAGCTCTCGTACACGGCAACTTTTAACTTCATATCACTCAGTACTTTCGTGTATTGCGCAGCGTGAAGCAAGTGCAGTCGTCACTCACCGCATGGTGATTGATAAGTCCGCACTACAACATAGTCCTATGACGATAAGTTTGTTTTAATACCGTCTGATATCCGATCCATGTTCCTATTTATTTGGACTGGCTTGTTATGAGAGTGAAGCAAGTGGTCATTCCAATGGCTACTGCGTGTGGGGTGGGCGAGACTGGCCTTCGGTGCAAAATTATCGTTGGTTCTTTCCTGAATAAAGAGCACTTCGTCTGAAAATCAACAGCGTTTTTTTCACTAACATCCAGAGTTTCACCGTCATAGATGTAGCATTTTTCATAACGTATTTATTAGTTATGTGACATGATACTATTTTTTGATAGCTTGAGGTAGTGCTTATTAGTAAAAATGTATCTAGATTTTTGGGGGACGAATAGCATTTTTGCTTATGCACACTTTGCACCAAAAAGGATAAGAAAAAATTGTTTTTGATTGCTTTTACGAAACAAATTAATTTTTTGTTCAAAATATGTTTTTGTGCAAAATCTATCTCTTCTTCTTGGTATGCTTTGTTAGCATAATACCCATTGCCGCCGTTAATATTGAAAAAAATTTACCGCCCCTCATTTGTACTACGGCTGATACCCTTGCAGGCCCGTAGCCAGGGGGGTTCGGGGGGTTCGAAAAAACCGCCCCTTTTGCGGGGAAAAGGTCCACTCTGGGTAAAATTTGATCTAAGCACATGAAGTTTTTATGGGAAAAGGTCCACTTTTTCAGAAAAAGAGCCCCCCTTTTGAAATTGCTGGCTACGGGCCTGCCTTGGGTAGCCTATTTAAAATAATCATAAATATTTGTGGTTGAAAAAAACATAAACAAGTGATCCCATCGATTTTCAATAAATATTTTATGAAACGAAGAACGAAACAGGTCAAGTGATTCTTTTAAGAAACATGAAGAGTTATTAAGTGATACTATTTTCTGTTTTCCATTTACCGTACAGTTTACCTTTAATTTTATGTCATTTCAAAACGTTTTTATGTAATATTTATTTAGTAACGTTCCGTTGCACTTGAAAACATCGGGACATTTCCAGACTCAAAATTTATTTTGTTCTATTTTTTGTAGCCTGCTTTCTGTTCTTTTTGATTGTGTGTTTGCGATTATAACAGGGATTGCTTTTCTCAATTTTTCTATTGGCATGGCAACAATAATTACATTTGAAAAGGTATATTTCTGGAAAGTTTGCTCCGCAGAATAAGCATTTTCGACGTATATTATGTTTTTATTTCCAGATAGATGTTATCGAAATTGTAATAGTAGTTATTTGATAATTTATTTCTTTAGCTTTCTGAATATATTGATTGATGTTTTTGTTTTGTTCTAGCTACCTCAGACTCTGGCGCCTCCTATCAGTTAGATTTATCTGCGAAGCCAAGAAAAGAGAGGACTGCTTTTACCAAATACCAAATTAAAGAGTTAGAAAAAGAGTTTTCTGTCCACAATTATTTAACAAGATTACGAAGATACGAAATTGCAGTTTCGTTGGATTTGACAGAACGACAGGTACGTTTTTTTGTGATAATTTGATAATATGTCAGTTATTGAATGATATTATGAAGAACAAAATGAAAAGGCTTTGTTTGTTTGATTACAAAACAACAACGACAACAACAACAGCCATAATAATAATAATCATAATAATTATCATCATCATAATAATTATTCCTTCTGGAATAAGGGGTAGTCAAGGACAAAAACATATTCTGTAACATGAATTAGGGCAGAGGAATTGAGGTAGCAATGCTGATCATAACTGGCATATATTTTATTAACGATGGGTATTGAATGAACGACTGATATCCATATTTGTGTAGACAAATAAATAAACATCTGCTTTGTTCTGATCTTGAAGTTTCTCGATAAGAAAAGTAATAAACATATCATATGTAAATATACAATATCCTTCTCATACGCCTTAGTTTGCCCATAGAAAAATACAGGTATTACAAACTATGACGTTAAAAATACGTGTTAATATAAACACAATTAATTCATGGGTGGTGAGAGCTGCGGGGGGGAGGGGGGTTCGCTGGGGGGTATTTTTTTCAACAACGTCAAGAAGGGGGCCCTTCTGTCCCCGTCGGTATTTTTTTCCTGAATGATTTACCTAACCCTACTTAAAATTATCTTCTTTACTCGCCTGTATTATGAGCAAACATATAGTATAAATACCATTCAACAGATCTACGTACTAGTAAGTTATTTTTGAAAAAGTCAGCAATATCATGAATACACATTCAAGTAGTTATCTCAATTACGTTGGTATGTTTATTATTCCTAAACATAATGACGTTTGCGGAATCAACGTAGTAGGAAAGAGTACATGAAGATAGTACTTATCATGATGATGATGATGATGATGATGATGACTTCAATCTCTGAAGCCAACTTGGTTACAGTGATGAAATGATGAGACCTATTAGCCCAAAATTAATCTTTAACGTTGTCGGTCGAAAGTTGGTTTAGCGACTTATGCCTGATTTCTGCGTGTATTGGTGGCATTTTGTTACTTTTAGACTTGGCTTATTTACTCCAAACAAAAAATAAACTCAGGCAAGTATTTTATTGAAATCTGTATCTCAGTACTGACGGCTCTAGGTTGCTAGCAAGGGAGGAGGCCTACTCCCAACCTTCCCTCTCCCAACTCCGCGGAAGTAGACGGCCAGATACCGCAGAATGTTTCAAATCCCAAATTTTTCAGATATTATTTTCTGTATTTACCAAAGTCTGAGAGAATTATACGATTCATACATCAAGAAAAAGAAATCTACATGCATGCGATCATCTTCAAAAAATATTTACTAATGACAAATAAGGCGGAGAAGAATTCCCGTGACCTCTATCAAAAACTCATCTCATAATTCATACGAGCGAATATAAATAAAGAAATAAATAAGACAGATGGATGATGCACGCCCATCTGACGTGTAGGTTCCAGTGAGCCTCTGCTGCTCTGCTCTGGGCCGTTCCTGGTCTGCGTTCACACTTGCTCTCTTTTTGGATCGATTTCACCGCCCCAGGTTCACTATCAGAAAACAACACGAAAGCCTTGGTTTGGCACTTGGAGTTGCAATAAACACAATGGGCTTCAAGCACATCGACCATTCAATTTTAAGATGCATTAGGTCGTGCAAGTTCAATGCACCACTTCACTAAGTTTGATCAAAATACGAAATTTCTCTATTATATATTTTACATATCTTCGAGTACGATTCATGATCACCGACCGGTTCACAGAGCAAAACCATTTCTCTCTTATTTTTGAAGGGACATAAAATACATAATAAACAAACTTTTAACCTGGCATGGAATGGTTTTAAAACTGGATCCAAAACCGGGCTTGAAAAAAAAAGTGCAATGGGAACCTGTCCTAGGACTGGCCTCGGTGTGCGGGGGCCCAGGCCTACTCGCTAACAATGGCTGATATTTAGGAAATGGTTCTGCGCCACTGGTTCGCTGCCCGGCATGTTGCCGCGAAAAGCACGTTCTTTCGCTGCCTCTGGCATAAACAACTCCTGTGATATACCAAATAAACAACAACAAAAAACATAATCAAAAGTATTAGTCTATCTTATATTTATTCAGCAACTTCTTTTAAGAATATTAAAAGAATATTAAAATATGCTAGTCAAATATATTCTGGATGCTTTATAAGCGAGTTATATAAGAAAGAGATAGATACGATAAAAAGTACATGTATATGGCTTTGCTCTCAAGATCCCGAGACACCGTTAAATTATAACGAATAGGGAAGGCACTTATTACAAATTAAAATATTCGGGAAAAGATTTAAGTTTTAATTTCTAGTTAAAGCAAATGTATGAAAGCAAATTCGGGGCTGTTTCTGTACAAATGGATCATCGCCTGGCATGTTAGTTTGGAAAGCACGTTCGAGTGTTGCTGGTGTTGAAGATTTATATAAACAAACACGTGTTTTAAACTGACTAGAACAAGAAAGATAGAAAAAAAAAACGTCCATGATGTAGATATATACAACAAGAAATAGATGTAAGACTGAAATGGCATATTGGTAAAAATGTCTTAGGGGTATATTCCTTATCGAATTGAGTGTCAGTCTGTCATATATTGACTTTTTACATAGAATTTGGTAAGTTTCATGTAAGAAGTATAGCTTACGACTAGGATTCATCATATTTGAAATCTTACGTTGGGATAAAAAGTGCCAAACAAATAAAGATAGTAATAAATAAAAAATAAATAAAAATAAAACTGTACTTATTCAACGTGTTTTTGAGAAAAAATAGATGCACATTATGTACAGAGAACATTCTATATTTTCTTACTCAAGAGGTTTAGTAGAATCATTATTTTGAACAACATATAAGTGTATTTCCGACTCCCCTGTCGAACTTGAAACATACAAAAGAATCTTAAATCTAAACAATGTATTTTACCAGAAATTATTTTTAAAAAGTCAGTCATCGCCACCCCATCTTTTTTAACATTACTTCTTTTTCATTTCTGAAAACTTAAATGGCTGCTTCTCACACTCTGCATCAGAAAACCTCCATCCGCTAACCTTGCATATAGAGTGTCCCAAAAACCTCCCCTACTATATCGTCACCTTCCAGTTTCAGTATCCTTTTTGTTTAGATGACCGACCATTCAAGCGTTGGGATTTTTTTGTTCAGCCCGTGTTTCCGTCTTCATAAAAAGCTAATTAGATTAGGTACCACTCTGAAAGACGCGCGACTCAAACACGGTTATTTTAAGTAATTTGTAAACATTAAACTCGGAATTGAAGAGAAATGCCCCATTAACTTTGCTGCTCATTAGGGCGGTTTAGTGTGATATATGACCAGGCCTGCGGGGTGCCCTAGAAATATAGCTTTTAAAGTCAAAGTAAAAATGTGAAATAATACAATAAAAAGTGTGTATAAATCGGATTATTGCTGCTTACGTTAACCCCGTGTTGAATGGGACAAAATTAGATTAAACTTCTCTGTGTTTCTGTTTGGATGTTTGATTTTGACGTTGATGTTTAAACGCAAACATTTCTGCTTTTTATTTTCTTTTTGAAATCCAAGATCCACATATTGCTCGGTTGCTTTTTATTCGTCCTCTCTCTCTCTCTCTCTCTCTCTCTCTCACTCTCTCTCTCTCTCTCTCTCACACACACACACACACACACACACACACACACACACACACAACCCCGTGTCTTCTCTCTGTGTATCTTCAGATACCAATCAACTGAATATAAAAAGAAACTCATCAAAATTAAGCAAGACGTAGACCAGACCCCGATAGTAGCATAACCTGAGCAAACAGCAATGGAACCCTGGCGGTTTGTTTTGTTTGCTGTTTGGTCTTTTGAAGTTTCGGCGCATGTGATCCGCCTTGAAAAGGTGGTTGGCTTGCCCTCTTGCCTGTGGGATCTGTTGTGTGGTGAGTGATACGTTGGGGGTATTTAGTTAAAGGGAGGGGGGAAATGGGGGAAGAGAGAATTGTGTGTGTGTGTGTGTGTGTGTGTGTGTGTGTGTGTGTGCACGTACGTTTGTGTGTGTGTACGCACGCGCGCGTGTGTGTGTGTGAGAGAGAGAGAGAGAGAGAAAATCACCTTAATTTTCGCCATAAGATTTCTTCTAACTTTGCAATAAAAAGATATATTATTTAGATCTTACAAAATTTTTTATTATGGTTGTTGTTGTTGTTGTTGATTATGATGTCCAGATTAGATTTGATTAGGTAAAGGAAAATAGATGAAGCAAGGGTTGTAACATGTCTGCAGGGCAAGGACCGTAACGTGATCCAGCGACTGTGAGCCTTGGTCTGTTTTTCCACCTTTTTGTCTTTGGTGGTCCTTGGAGAATTTTATTACAAATTTAGCGCAAGAAAAGTTTGAGCTTCATTCAAAGTCTAGATTATTCTCATGTCTGTCAATCTTTGGCTCTATTCACATAGAATTTAGATCGATCTATCCCCGCGGGGAGTCTCACTAGATTACTTTCAAATAATCCGACTTAAATGTCCGTCCCGCCTACTACAAGCTGTAAGGGGGTAATTAACTTTCGTGTCCGCCCGGCTGACAGCTATTTAGCGTGAACCCCCAGGGAGTTAGGTCGATCTAAAGTAGGTCGATCTAATCTATGGAAATGGGGTGTTTGTGTTTTTATAGAAATTAGTCAAAAGGCTCTCAAGTACTGGTGAGTTCTTATTAGACCTTTACTTGCCTTGCAGATAAATCGACGTTCTAATTGAGAACTGCATCAGCATCAAATATGTTATATTCATTACAGCGTAAATGAACGGGCTAAATAGAGTAGAAAATGTTGAAAAACATAAATAATAATCATGCAACAGACTTTTAGTACAGATTAGTATCATAACTGAATAAGTGAGGCAAGAAAGGGGAGGTATGATATGCCAGTGAATCTTAGGCTGTATTCCCAGAGCTTTTAGATCGATCTATCCCCGCGGGGAGTCTCACTAGATTACTGTCAGATAATCCGGCTTAAATGTCCGTCCCGCCTACTACAAGC